TAGTCTATCTTGTTTTGAAAAGCTTCTGTTCATGTGTTTTGTCCACTTTTTAATGGGGTTATTTGATTGTTGTTCTTGCTGATTTGCTTGAGTTCTTTGTAGATTCTGGTTATTAGTCCTTTATTGGATGTACATGCAAATATTTTCTCCCATTCTGTCGGTTGCCTTTTTGCTCTATTATTTGTTTCCTTGGATGTGCAGAAGCTAACAAAGAAACACTGGATTTAAATGATACTCTAGAGCAAATGGGCCTAACGAGACATTTAAAGAACATTCTACCCAAAAACTACTGAATATACATTCTTCTCATCAACACATGGAACATTCTCTAAGACTGATCACATATTAGGCCACAAAACATGTCTCCACAAATTAAAAAAACTATAAATTGTACTAGAAATTATACATCTTCTCAGATCATAGTAGAGTAAAATTAGAAATCAACTCCAACAGAAACACTCAATTCTACACAAAGTCATGGAAATTAAATACCTACTGCTGAATGATTATTGGGCCAAGGAGGAAATCGAGATAGAAATCAAAAGATTCCTCAAACTAAGTGACAAAGGGAACATAAGTTATCAAAATCTATGGGTTTCATAGGACTGCAAAAGCAGTCATAAGGGGAAAATTCATAGCCTTAAATGCCTACATCAAAAAAACAGATCATAAATAGAAAATCTAATGGATTGCCTGAAGGAACTAGAAAAGGAAGAGCAAACCAAACTCAAAGCCAGCAGAAGAAAAGAAATAACTAATGTCAGAGCAGAACTAAATGAAATTGAAAACAAAACAAAAATACAGAAGGTTAATGAAACAAAAAGTTGGTTCTTTGAAAAGATAAAAAAAATTGATTGACTTTTTGCTAGATTAACCAGAAATAAAAAAGAAAGGACCCAAATAAGTTCAATCAGAAATGAAAAAGGAGATATTACAACTGATACCACAAAAATACAAACTATCATCTTTTAATACTATAAAAATCTCTATGCACATAAACTTGAAAACGTTGAGGAAATGGATAAATTCCTGGAAACACACAACCTCCCAAGGCTCAATCAGGGAGAAATAGAACTCCTTTCCATATACATTTTAGAATTAGCTTGACTGTATCTACAAAAAAATCCTGCTGGGATTTTGATTTGAATTTCATTAAATCTATAGAACAATTTTGGGAAAATTGATATCATCATTATGTTGAGTCTTCTAATCCATAAATGTAGTTTATCTCTCCATTTATTTAGGTTGTCTTTTTTTAATCAATGTTTCATAATTTTCAGCATGCATATCCTGTACATGTTTTGATAGGTCTATACCTAAGTATTTTGGGTTTTTAAAAATTTATTGTACATAATATTTTTTTAAAAAAATTTGGTTTCCAAATGTTCATTGCTAGAATATAGAAGAGATATGGTGGATTTTTGTGTTTTTATGTTGTATATGTTGACTTTGATGAACTCACTTATGTGTTCTAAGAGTTTTTTTGTAGATTCCTTATGATTTTCTACATAGGTAATCATGTCAAATAAAATAGAAATGATTTTATTTCTTCCTTTCCAATCTGTATGGCTTTTAGTTCTTTTTCTTCCTTTATTGCACTAAGTCTTCCAGTATGACATTGAATAAGAGTGGTGAAAACAGACATTCTTGCCTTGTTCCCAATCTTAAGGGGAAAACATTCAATCTTTTACTAGCCATAGGTTTGTTTTATAGATGTCCTTTATCAGTTGAGGAAGTGTTTATCATAATCATATATTGGATTATGTCAAATGCTTCTTCTTCACCTATTAGTAACATTATGTATTTTTTCTTTATACTGTTAATATAGTGGATTATATTCATTGATTATTGAATATGAGCAACCCTTGAAATTTCAGGACAAATTATATTTGGCTATAACTTTTTTTACATGTTGCTTTGTTTGCTAATATTTTGTTGAAAAACTTTGCATTCATGAGGAATATTGGTCTGTACTTTTAATTATTTTGTCTCACTTTGGTATTATAGTCATGATGGTCTTATAAAATGGGAAGTGTTCTCTCCTCTTCTAATTATGGGAAGAGATTGTGTAAATTGGTTGTTGTATCTTCTATAGGTGTTTGCTCCATCTGGGAGTGTAGATTTCTTTTTTGGAAGTTTTTAAATTACAGATTTAATTTCTTTAGTAGCTATTAGTATGCTATTTAGATTGTATATTTAACATTTTATAAGTTTTGTTAGCTTGTGGTTTTAAAGCAATTGGTTCATTTTATCTAAGTTGTCAAATATACGTAAATAGATATTTTCTCATATGATTCCCTTATTTTCCTTTTATTGTCTATAGCATCTATAGGAATGCTCCCCATTTTATTTATGATATTGATAATTTGTGTCTTCCTTCTTTCCCTCTCCTTCTCTCTCTTTTTATAAGTATTACTGGGGGTATCAATTTTATTGATATTTTCAATAAATTTTTGGTTTCATTGATTATTTTTTAGCATTTTGAAGGATTTATTTAATATACAAAAGAAAAGACTACCTTTGAACCAGCCAAGTTCAAAGTTAAAAGGAGGAGTTTTAACTTTAGTTCTGGAGAATGCATCTATATTTCATTCAAAGCCACTGATCATGTGGGCAATATCCCAGTTGGTCTCTGAAGACAGTGGTCCCTCTATTTCAACACCTTTTTCGGTTACAGTGGCAATTTGAAACCGGTTGTAAGAACGGGCATCTCAATACTACAACACTCGCATGCAGCGTTCTACTAGCTCACGGGCCTCAGTCTGGCTCAGCACTGGCTGCTTCTCCAGAACTTCTCGCAGCAGAGGCTGAGCCAAGTATGCACCACAACGAGTGGCCAGCAAAGGGGCTTCATAGGGTACACCAAGCATGTACACGTAACTGAGGAAGCTCTCTCCATCAGTATAGCCTCCAATGACCATGGTGTTCCACAGAGGGTTCATCTTCGAGCGGCGGCTGTACATAGGCCTGGTCAGCCATGAATTAGTAGCTTTAGGACTATAACTGTGTCCATCTCCCAACAGCTCCTCATCAGTCACGGTCTGGCCGAGAACTTGCTTCAAATACTGGAAATCAGCGTAGTCTCCAGAAGCACCCAGCATGGTACTGTCGTTGACTTGCACAATGCGAGAGATGTTGCGGAAACAAACCAAGTAGCTGTAGGAGCCCAGCATGTCTGTGGCAATCACCACTCCGCCTTCGAACTTAACGCTGAGGACTGAGGTCCTAGTCACCATGGGGTTCTGGGTCCACATGATCGGACCCCCGTAGATCGAGGACCCCAGATCTATGGAGGAACTGGGAGTGGATGGGATTCGGATCATTGCTGACCTTTTTTCTTTTCTTTTTTTTTTTCTTGAAGAGAATAAAAGGTAGTTTTAATAAGGGCACGGGGAACACCCCACTGCACAGATGAAATCCCGTCACAGCAGCTCGGGGTCACTGGCACAGTGTCCACTGACGTGAAAGCCACATTCTAGTGCATCGAGAAGGAAAGCACGTCTCTCTCGCAGTTCTAGGATGCACCGTGTGAGGATGGCACATGGCACTTGGGAGTACATTTAAATTTCTAAACACACATCAGTAGCCTGCTCTGGCTGCCTTCTGATAAAAAGAAAGTGAGGCCTGAGATAAACCAGCCTACGGTGTTAAGTTTGCAAGGAATAGCAAGCCAGAAGTGTGCACTGAGGGGACGGGGACAGCTGGTTGGCTGCTCTGTGAATACAACCCGAATCCCCTCGGGGCACGAGGGGACACGTCCTCCTCCAAGGACAGGCTTTTGCCCACTCCCGGCTGCCCACAAGGGAGAAGCTGGTGAGGGGACCGTGTCCCGGGTCTCCGGTCATGTGGAAGAGACCCCAAGCCTGAGCTAGATAGGCCCCGGTCGCCGCCCGGCTCTCACTGTGAGCAGAGCTTATGTCCTATGGAGACCCCCACCCCAGGCAGGCGACAGGCTCTGAGAGGAAAACTCAAGTAAGAAAGTCTCCTGAATTGGTACCAACTCCATGGTGCCTGCCTGGCCTTCTAAAGATGCTAAAGAGCCCTGTAATGAAGAAGAAGAAACCTGCAAGTTCTGTCATAAATACAAAGCAAGAGTGGGAGAACGCTTTCCCCTCCATGGGCTGCACATCCGTCCCATTTCTACATGAACTGCAAAACTCGATTCACGGCATTAAAGGAAAAAAGCAAAACAACAAAAAGGCTTGCTGCTAATGCAGGAGTTATAAACAGGAGATTCAACTTTGGAATGTTCAGAAAGCAGTGGTTTGTGAATTTATCTTGTATTTTAAAACACAGAATATTTCCAATATTTGGCATCAGTGCTTGATCTTTTTAGGTGGGGGGGTAAAAGACAGGGCCGTCTTTACAGACCCATAGCCCCTGGTCCTTGGCAGCTGTCCCCACCAGCCAGGCCTCCTGCTTGGGGGCTGACCACTCACCTGGCTCAGTGCAGTTGCTCAGCTGCTGGTCCTGCTTAGTGAGGCATAGCTCTAGCTGACCGATCTTCTGCACTACCTCAACCTGTCTTGGCCGAAGGCACTGGAGTTTAGGTACCACTCCGTATACTCTGGTAAGCGCATCTTTAAAATCTCCAACCTGGTAGTAATTGATAGATGGTGTTATCCCCAACTTTAGGAGCATACTGCTGAGGTCTAGCTTTTGGTACACACCCAGCCTCTTGCCAAAGCACTTCTTCTAGGAGTTGAGAGCCTCCACCTGCGTGGCACAAGTCCCATGCTTTTCCCGTTCGTGCTTCCAGAACTGGCTGCGATTAGGAGACGAATGAATTACATCAGGCCAGTAGGTCTTCATTTCTGGCAAAAGATCCTTAATCTCTTCTAAATTAAAGTGCCATGATTGATTACATTCCTCAGTTTTATCAGGCCACACCCCGTGTATTGTCCAGTAATGTGGAGAGTCTCTACAGTCATTTTGCACCTCCTCGCACACTGTCTCAAGCTGGTGTTGAACCAGAATTTGTTTTTTTGTTTTTCAGGATTTAACTATCTTTATTTTCTAGTTAAAATTTTACAAAAGGGAGGGAGGATAAGGGGAAACAGAGATTACACTGTGTTGACATTGAGACTTTAAATTCTAGTCAGAGTTAAGACCCATATTAAATGCCAACTGATAGCTTAAAAGGAAATAACTACGTGGAGGCTAATCGAGACATACATGAGTTGAGTCTCATGATTAGCCTCAATAATGTAAGAAAATAATTCGCAATAACATTGGAGTCCATGGTTGTCAAGTATGCTCTCTTGGGCATGGGTAGGTGAAAGTCTGGAGAAATGGGTTCTCTCCATGCCCAGTGACAAAGATGGCTCCTGGTTTGATGTAAGAGCAAGTCCTGTTATCAGGTGCTGTACGCATCTCACAGCTGAGTTTAGCAGTGGAATTGAGTGGAGAACTTGGGAGATACAGGCACAATCAGAGGCTGGTCACTTAACTTTACCTCCACACCCTGGTACTTTCGTATTGGATTTGCCTTGTGCACAAGTTCTTTCCATAGCCTAGCTAGCTCCTCTTTCTTCTGCTCTTCCTCCTGCTGCCTGGCCTCCTCCAACTGCTGAGATTTCTGGGCTTCAACGTCAGCCATTCTCTTCTCCAGCTCCTGCCACTCCTTGGCTCTTTTCTCAGTAGCCAGCTGAAAAGGTTCCTGAACTAGAGAACCAGAAAGGCCCTCGGTAACTGATTTTTTCTTTCTTGGGAACAAAGGGTTCCTGGGAGATGACGGTGTTTGGACAAGCCTTGAAGCAAGCTGCTTCTTTCTGCTGTTTCAGTTCTTCCTTCACCTGGTGCTTCCAAATCTGCGCCTTCAGAGCACCTCTTTTGTCAGTCTCCAAGCAGAAAGTCTCACTCTGGGTCACATTCTTTACCTTCTTCTCTGGCAGGTTAATGGTATCAAAATGAGGCAAGAGAAGTGCCTTGAACTTGGGCACCTCCCCTTTCTGCAGTTCTTTCATTTTCTTCTCCTTGTGTAACTGACATTCTTTGTCTAGAGAATCAAAGGAGAAAGGGCACATCTCCACAGTTCTTGCCTCTACTATTTGGGGCTTAAAAGGTACCCCATAATGTGGCACAGATTGAGCTCTTATCACTACCAGTTCAACCTCTTCCTCATCTCCTTTGGTGGGTATTTGGATTCTGTTCTTCAATGCAAAGGCTGGTGACTTGGGGACAGTGATTGGAAGTACCTTTTTTTCAGGAACACCCACAACATCTTCCAAGATCTTAGTAGGGCAAGGTCTGGAATGAAATTCAGTGTTCATTGTCTGATTTCTTCTTTGACTCTCGATCCTGGATTCTTGTCTCAATTTCCAAATCAAAGCCAATAAGCTGAGTGGGTGGTTTGACCCAATTCATGGTAAAGTTATAGTGTTAAACCAGGTGGACCTGTGGGCCCTGAGCCTGCAGTAGAGTTTTTTTTTTTTTTTTTTTTGAGTACAATCTTCATGAAGGGATTGTCATCCATGGAGGCATTGTGTCCTGGAGCTTTAGGAGGGAGGCTCCCAAATTGTGTCCTGGAGCTTTAGGAGGGAGGCTCCCAAATGGGCTGATTTCTGCTGGAGGTTTATCCTCTGAAGGCTTCTGAATAGACTCCTTTTCCACATCTGATTGCTCTTTCTTCAGATTGCCCAGGCTGCTGGACTTTTGCAGACTTGAAGTCAAAACACTATCACATAGCCAGGTTTCCACAGCAGCACCAAGGATTATTTTTCCATCATTCTCTTCAAATGAAGTCTGTGGTCTGGAACTAGAACAATACTTCTGCTCTGGGCCTGCTGGATGTGGTGCAGGCACTGGAGCACAACCATAGCCTGAAGGCCATGCCTCTGCCACTCAATGACGTGGCCCAGGCGCAGCCCAGTCACCCGGAACTGACAGCAAGTGCAGTCCATCAGATCCAAGCCTGTCTCTTGAGGAACAACCGCGCAGACCCTGCCTCTTCTGACCGCCTGTCCCACCTTCATCCACTGAGTCTGGTTTCAAACCCCTCTGAGCAGGAAGTGAACAAACTATGTCAGTTGGTGCAAAAGCACGTGGAGCTGCTGGGCTGTGGGGCTGGGCCCCAGGGTGAAGGCACTGTGCACCAGGTGGAGGATGCCATCCAAAATGCCAACTTCTCTTTCAGTATTCTCCCCATTCTATATGAGGCTGGGAGCTCCCCAAGCCATCACTGGCAGCTTCGGCAGAAGCCGAAGGGTCTCCTGAGGCAGGACTTCACTCAGGCCACACTGAACACAACAAGGAGCCTCTGCCCACAGATACTGCAGGGATCTGGCTGGAGGGAGCAGCTAGAGGGAGTCCTGGTGGGCTCAAGGGGCTTCCCAGAGCTCCTGTCGGGAACAGCTCCTGCAAAATGCCTTCACTAGGCTCAGGGATATGCAGCTGTCAGTCACAGCGACCTTGGCAGAGAGCACTGTGGCTCAGGCTCTGGCAGGTCTGAGTGCAGCCCGGGACCAGCTGGTGGAGAGTCTGGCTCAGCAGGCAACAGTGGTGATGCACTCTGCCCTACCCACACGGGATGGAGGTGAGCCCAGCTCCCTCAGGCCTGGGGAATTGGAAGGTCTCTTCTTCCCGGAGAAGAAGGAAGAGAAAGAAGAGGAGGAACAGAAGGAGGAGAAGGATGACAGTCCTCGGAAATGGCCTGAACCCAGCCACGGTCTTTGACCGCCTCATCCATTCACAGTGCTGCTGAGGAACCCCAGCCCGAGCTGGTGGCTCTAGGGGAAGATAAGGAGCCGCAGGCAGGGCCGTCCTCACGCAGTTCTTCGAGCCCTGCTGCCCGCGGGCCCCCAGCCGGCCCGCTGCCTCCTCGCATGGACCTGCCACCCACGGGACAGCCACTGCGCCATCCTACCAGGGCCTGATTGTGGCTGCGCCGCCAGTACCACCACCGCCCGCCGCCTGGGGGCCTGCAGGTGCTCCCAGCCTTGACGCAAGAAGGGAATGTGCTCAGTGCCCGCGTGGAGGAGAGCAGCGTGGAGGAATTCTTCTCCAAAAGGCTGATCTAGCAGGATTGCCTCTGGGCCCCCGAGGTAGACCCGGCCACTGAGGGGGGTGCCACTCCTGTGCCCCGTACATTGTGAAAGAAGATGGGCACCCTCTTTGCCTTCAAGAAACCTCGGTCCACACTGGGTCCATGGCCTGATCTAGAGACCAGCCTGTGGCAGCTCCCCGCACCCGGAAAACCACACTTGGCAACCTACTGCGGCCACCGACCCATCTCAGCCATGGTGAGGAATCTGGTGGGGCTGAGGGGGGCATCAGCAGCCCTGACTCTGCCCGCAGGAGCCGGCCTCACTACACAAGGAATAGCAAGGCCTATTGGATGATCCTACTACTTGCAGAGGAGGAGGAGGCAACACTGGGTGCCAGACCCGACAAGCGGTGGCCCCTGGAACGGGGAGAGACAGAGCTGGCTCCATCTTTTGAACAGCGGGTACAGGTGATGCTGCAGAGGATAGGAGTGAGCTGAGGCAGCGGGGGTGTTGAGCATTTTTTCATATGTTTGTTGGCCATTAGCCTATCTTCTTTAGAAAAATTTCTGTTCATGTCCCTTGTCCACTTTTTAATGGGGTTGTTTGATTTTTTCTTGCTGATTTTCCTGAGTTCTATATAGATTCCAGTTATCAGCCCTTTTTCAGATGTGTAACATGCGAATATTTTCTCCCATTCTGTAGGTTGTCTGTTTGCTTTTGTGATAGTTTCCTTTGCTATGCAGAAGCTTTTTAATTTGATTAGGTTCCATTTATTTATTTTTGTTGTTGTTATGATTGCCTTTGGGGTCTTCTTCATAAATTATTTGCCATTTGAATTCAAACACAGCAGCTGGGATTTTGAATCCAGAACTTTCTGATTCTAATACTTGAAATCATTCTTGATTCTTGTTTTTTTATACCTCATAGCCAGTCAGCAAACCCTGTGAGTTCTACCTTCAAAATATATCCAGAATCTGAACACTTCTCACCACCCTCATTGATACCACTGTGGGCCAAGCTGCTATCTTCTCTGGCTCACTTTATTGCAGTAGCCTCCTGACTGGACTCTCTGCTTCCATTCTTCCCCTACACCCCCTTCAGTCTAGTTTTAGTACAGCAGGAAGAGTGAATCTTTCAAAACATGTCATGGTTCTTCTATCATTGAAACATTGCACTGGCTCCTCATTTCATTCAGAATAAACGTCAAAGTCTTCACAAGGGCCTAGAAAGCCCTCCATGCTCTTGTCCCTTGTTGCCTATCTGACTTCGTCTGCTACAACTTTCCTCCTCACTCCTTCCACTTCAGTCTCTTTCATCAGGTATCTACTAGGTCTATTCCTTCTATCTGTCATATTTTTACTCAAATGTCACCTTCTCAGAAAAGCCTTTCATGGCCATGCTGTTAAAAACAATTATCATCTTCCCCTCTCCCACATTTCTAATTTTTCTTCCTGGCATTATTCTTCCCAGTAGCACTTTTTATGAACTAACATACTACTAAAGTGACTTATTTACTACAGTTATCATCTGCTCACAAATAAACTCTCATGAGGGCCAGGTTCTAGGAATCTTTGCTTTTATCATCACTCTATTCCCAGTGTCTATCACAATGCCTGACATTTAGTAGGTGCTCAAAAATATTTGTTGAATCATAATGAATGAATGAATGAATTATTTTTATTACTCCTTTATGCCTCAGCAAAAATTTGAATAGAATAGAATAGAAGGTGGGAATGAGAATAATAACAGTTAACATTCATTGATCATGTACCACTAGGTGCTGGCTACCATTCTAAGAGTTTATTATGCTCTATCTCATTTAATCCCCCTAAAACTCTATAAAAGAGATGTTCTTATTATTTCCATTTTGAAAATGAAAAAATTGAGACATAGACATTTTGAATGATTTTCTCAATATCACGCAACCAGTTAAAAGTGGCTCTGGTTTACTAACCCAGGCAATAGACTTTAGGGCCCAAGCTCTTTACTTCTATGCCCTCATATGATCTCAAGAAGTGGAAATCAAGGGTAATGACAACTCCTGGGTTTTTGCCTTGAGCAGTTGGAGAGATATTGATGCCATTTATTGAGGTGGACAAGAGTGGGAGATGAACAATTTGGAGGAATTAAAACTCAAGTGTTTAGTTTTGGCCATGCAGGATTTAAGATGCTTATGAGACATCCAAAGGAAGACTATGCAATTAACTATGCAAGTCTGCAGCTCAGAGCAGAACTGTAGACTAGAAATACCAGTTTGGAAGCCATGAACATAAAGTTGGTATTTAAAGCCATGGGAATGGATGTGATCATGACCTGTTGTGTGTCTGCAGTATGCACAGATGTGCTGTAGCAAAGGCTGACTGGGGAAAGAAAGAATACATCCCAAATATATGAATAAAGCTACCCTTTGAGACAAACATAGGCTCAGCCTGCAGATGATACTCTGGTTACCTCCATGCTGAGTTGGATATAGATCCTCTTTCTGGCAACATTGGAGAGCACCTCCCCTTCTTTCTAGCTCTCTTTTAGGAACGTTAGTTTGAATTATCTGCATATTTCTTTAAAAAGCCCAAGAGAAGCCATTGATATTCAAGAATGCCAATTTTAGGGAATTTCTCCAAATTTTCAAAGCTTTATCTCCATTTCATACCAGAGCACCAGTAAGCTACAGACCTGGTCTCTATCACTGTGTTCCCAGTGGAACTCCCTTCACAAAACTGTTTCTTAACATTATGCATTTGAATTTTCCTGAGGGCCCACATAATAGACACCATATGTGGAATATCAGTGCATTTCTTAGGTAAAACTTCTTTTAGGTATACCATCCATTATGTTGTACAAGTTCCCTTAAGCAAAGACCTGGACAACAATTTTTTCTTACAGTTCTGAAATAAGAAACAGACTGTCTGTCTCGATAGACTAGTCTACTTGCTTTTGTGAGCTGCCCAAGATCCTCTAGGCCATCTGTATATTGTTGCCTTGTCTTTCAGGAACTTCAGAGTCAAATAGTTGCTCATTTTTAACAGTTTCTCTTCATCAGGGTCAAGAATCACAAACTGGGGGAAAAATGTTACCTATAGATGAGTTGTGTTCAGCTAACCTTGTGTTTCAAAATAATTAGTTATGTGCCTCATAACATTTCAAAGATAGACTGCATATATGACAGTGGTTTCACAAGGTTATAATACCATATTTTTACTGTACTTTTTCTGTGTTTAGATACAAAAATACTTAGATATGTTTAAATACACAAATACTTACCATGTGTTACAATTGTCTACAGTATTCAGTACAGTAACATGCCATACAGGTTTCTAGCCTAGGAACAATAGGCTGTACCATACAGCCTAGGTGTGTGGCAGGCTATGAAATGGGCAGGTT